TAGTGAAGGACTATGTCGCCTCTTGTGACACCTGTCAGCGGGTTAAGGCCTCTCATCTTCGGCCGGCCGGTCTATTACAGCCATTGTCGGTACCGGAGCGGGTGTGGGAGGACATCAGCATGGACTTCATTGTCGGGCTTCCTCCCTCCGGTGGTAAGACGGTACTGTTTGTAGTCGTGGACCGATTGACGAAGTATGCTCATTTCATGGCATTGGCGCATCCATATACAGCCCGAGCAGTTTGTGATGGGGGTCGTACGCCATCACGGGTTTCCGAGATCGATTGTCAGTGATCGGGATTCGATTTTCTTGAGCCGTTTCTGGCAGGAGGTATTCGCTCTGGCTCAAACGACATTGCGAATAAGCTCTGCCTACCACCCAAAGACCGATGGCCAGACGGAGGTGGTCAACCGATATTTGGAGCAGTATCTGCGTTGTTTTGCCCATCAGCAGCCGCGGTGATGGTTGGCTCTATTACCATGGGCCGAGCTATGGGATAACTCCACATATCATAGAGCGATCCAGACGACCCCGTTTGAGGCACTGTACGGAAGACCACCACCTTCATTGGTTCGCTATCAGCAGGGCGCCAGTCAGGTGGATGCGGTGGACCGTTGGCTCGAAACTCGGGATGAGACATTGGAGCAGCTCAAGGCCAATCTGGCTGCTGCCAATAACAAAATGAAGCAGTTGGCAGATGCAGGCAGGCGGGAGGCGGAGTTCGAGGTGGGGGACTGGGTTCTGCTTCGCCTTCACCCCTACAGGCAGGCTTCCGTTTTCCGGCGGGCCTACCAGAAGCTGGCCGCCCGATACTTTGGTCCCTATGAGGTATTGTAGAAGATTAATCTGGTGGCCTACCGTTTGCAGTTGCCAGCGGATGCTCGTATTCACCCTACCTTTCATGTGTCGTTGCTGAAGCGCTACAGAGGAGCCGCGGACCGGGTGGAGACGACGGCGCCGCCAGTCTCTGCCGATGGTGACCTTGTACTTACCCCTGTGCAGGTTGTGGATACCAGATGGGTTCGGAAGGGAGGGCGCATGATTGAGGAGAGTTTGGTTCTGTGGCAGCACATGACGCGCGAAGATGCTACCTGGGAGGAGACTGCCACACTACGACAGCGTTTCCCGACATTTGACCTTGAGGACAAGGTCGTTTCTGATGGGGAAGGGGATGATAGAGACCCGCGCGGGTAGGGGGGTCGGGTTGGGTTTGGCCGACTGGGCCGGGTTGGGTTTTGTTATTCTGTGTTAGTTTCTGAAACTCATAAATAGGGTTCTGCACATTCATTTACGGTTAAACAATAATAACACCAAAATCCCAAAATCCCTATTTTCTCTGTTCTTCCCCAATTCGATTTCCAATCCCTAATTCGTTCCCATCCCCAATTCTTCTTCTCACCCCCAAACCCTACTCTTCTCTATCAGAAAGGTCCAGACTCAAGCTCTTAACATGCATTTGGCCAACTTACAAGAATCATCACTTTCTTGGTTGAAACTTTCCATCTCTTCATCAAGCCCTTCAAGATTTGTCTCCTCTACTTCAGCTGTGTCCGACAAATACCTCTTTTTCCCTTCTCATTGTTCTTGCTGTTTTCAATCTGGTTTTATTAAAATAACTAACTTATAACCCGACCCGTTGGTCGGAGGAGCTGAGCTGAATATTGAATTATTGGGATAACCCGTAGATTCAACCATTAAGCTAAATTGGCCTAATGGTGAGTACCGCCTAGCATATCCCTAATAATCATACCAAAGTGAATATATTGGAACATAAACAGTACATCAGAAGTTGGTACAACCATGAAGTTAGACCATTAAAAACATACCAATGAAATTGAATAGCATCGAAAAACTTCAACTTCATTATATAATTACATGAGATCAGAAAGAGAACACCATTAATTTGTTTTACAAAACTTTCATCTTTTCATCATTGTGCTTTCTGGTTTTTGTCAGGCCATGATAAAATCTAAGGAAATCAAGAACGAACAACACGATTTGGGATAGAAACCGCCGTTGTCGTATTCCTAGAAAATGGTGGTAAACACGGACTCACCTGCCAAACTGGTTTGGATTGAGATTTTCATCGGGTATCAAGGAGCCATGTGATTATAAATTAGACTTGATAAAAACAGGTCAAACCTTAAAATTCAGTCTGTTTGACCGACCCATGCCAAATTCTAATTATTCGTTACTTTTAAACTTTCTATTTAAAAATAAAAAATAGTGAAAGAAAAGAGATGACTGCAATTGACCATTTGCACATCACTTATTCGGGAATAAAACCATAGAAATTCAAAAGGAACTAAAAATGTTTAGGATCGTTTTAATGTTTAAAATAACCAAATAGATCTTTTTGTTTAGTTTTTTACTAACAAATATCAAACGATTCCCTATAAAATATATTATAATTTGATATGATATCAAATAATTATATAATATATATTTGAAATGATAAAAATTGGACTAATTGGGTTGGTCGAGGTTGAACCATTGAATAACTTTAAAATACATTATATTTTAGCCATTAAGATATAAAATAATAGCATAATATATATTATGCCAGAGAAAATAGCTTGTTTTAGAATTTCATACCAATGATGTTCATTTGTTTTACTTGATGAACAAATCCCGTGTAGGTCGGGCCCATTCAACTCTTTTATTTTATGGTTAGCGGTTAGCCCATTAGATATCATGCATTAGTTTACTGTTAAATTTTTTATTTTTAGCAATAAAAAGAATTATTATTTTTTCCTTTTCATATATATTTTATCACCACGGAGAAATAAAAGGGTATAAAGAAAAAAACTGATACTCCTGGACCCGTTTAAATCCGCATGTGTACGGTAACTTGGCCCGTTCCACAGGGGAAAGAGAAAAAAATTGACACTCCCTATTCTATCCTTCCTACAAACGCTCCTGGAGCAGGGAATTTGAAATGGGGGAAGAGTTTTTTCCACCCTGCTATTATATGTTTTTAATTTAAAATGATACAACAAATGTACTTAGTGTGATTGGTTATGATCTTTGTCTTTCTTTAAAATGGTCATGGTTTGAATCCCAGTACGTATTTTTTTAATGAATAAAAAAAGTAATTGTGAAGACCAAAATGTCCTTCCTACTTGCACTCTCGTTGCAGGAAATTTGAAATGAGGCTCCCGTTTTTCCCTTCGACGTATTATAAGTACTAGGTGGGCCCCGGCTAGTTGGCCGGAGGAAGGTGAGGTATGAAATTTGATAATGTAATGTAGTGTTTAGTTTATTGTTGTATAGTTTTTTTTTGGAAACACGTGATAAAGATAGTAAATTTTAGCAGGAAAGAGACATATGGATGATGCAACAAATCAAAAAACAGCCTTATGAACTAAAACAAGTACCTATTACCTTGTGAAACAATAGTGTTTCTGGTAATATGATGAGGTGGAATAAGTTTTATAGAAACCAAATTCCAGAAAATCGAATAAAAAATCGCCTATCCCGCCGGTTTTCGGGAAATGAGCATCTCACAATCGTTGCTAGCTTTTACAAATTGTTGGCCGATTAATTTGCTTTATAAAACTTTCATCTTGTCGTCATTGTGCTTTCTGGTTTTTGCTAGGCCATGATAAAATCTAAAGAAATCAAGAACAACACGATTTGGGATAGGATTGATCAAAACGGGCCAAAACTTGAAATTAAACCCGTTTGACTGACCCATGCCAAACTCTAATTATTCTTTACTTTTAAACTTTATAGTTGAAAATAAAAAATAGTGAAAGAAAAGAGATGACTGCGATTCTCCATTTGCACATCACTGATTCGAGAATAAAATCTTAGAAATTCGAAAGGAAACTGAAAATGTTTAAGATTGTTTTAATGTTAAAAATAACCAAATAGATCTTTATGTTTAGTTTTTTACTAACAAATACCAAAAGATTCCCTATAAAATACACTATAATTTAATCATTATGATATCAAATAATTACATAATATATATTTGAAATGATAAAAATTGGACTAATTGGGTTTGTCGAGGTTGAACCTTTTAATAACTTTAAAATACATTATATTTTAGCCACTAAGATATATATTATGCTAGAGAAAATAGCTTGTTTTAGAATGGCAAATCCATGATGTTCATTTGTTTTACTTGATGACCAAATCCCGTGTAGGTCAGGCTCATTCAACTCTTTTATTTTATGATTAGCGATTAGCACATTAGAATCTATGCATTAATTTATTGTTAATTTTTTTTCTTTTTAGCAATAAAAAGAGTATTGTTTTTGCCCTTTCATATATATGTGTCTTTTTAATGAATAAATAATAAAAAATAATTGTGAAGACCAAAATGTCCTTCCTACTTTCACTCTCGTTGCAGGAAATTTGAAATGGAGCAACAGTTTTTCCGTTTCTGCTATTATATATTGTGTAGATAGTAGAGTAGATTAGTGGGTCAAGCCCAATAAGAAGGATCTATCAAAAGCCTCATTGGAGGGGCCATCAATTAGGAAATCGGTCGTGGCCCGTTCCTTAATAGATTGAATATCCAATTGGCAATTACACTATGAATTCTTGTCCTATTAGGATTCAGATTCTTAGTATGACTAGGAATGCGGCTAAATTACACGTTTGGTCACTCAAATTATATAAATCTTTCACGTTTGTCATCCGAATTACTTTTCTTTTTTATTCGCCACTAACTTTACGAATCATTTCACCGTAGCCACCCGCCGTCCAATTCCGTTAAAATATCCTACGTTGGCAGTCAACCAAAACCTTTGACCGTTAGTTTGATGACGTGGCAATTAAAAGATCATATAAAAATTAAAAATTAATATAAAAATTAAAACACTTGTCATCTGACTTGAGATGATATCATAACGCACCAAATTCAACAATCATTATCGAAATTGCTTCTACAGGAACTGATTTCAAATTCATGGAGTTCAAATTAAAGTGCACAACCCAACTGTAGGCATGAACAAGCACCCACCCATACAAGCCCCATCTCCCGTTCTCGTCAGCTACCTCCTAAAACAGAGCAACAAGAATGGAGAATGAAGAACTGTTGGTTCTGCAAGAACAAGAAGAAGCAGCAGCAGTCGTCGCCGAGGCCGGAGCCAGAGAAAGTAGTGTGACCCACGGAGGGAGGTACGTGGAGTACAAACTTCTTGGAAACATCTTCCATGTATCCTCCAAATACGTCCCTCCCGTTCATCTCGTCGGCCGCGGTTCGTATGGCGTCGTCTGGTACTCTACATTATCTTCACCTGATCACCTCAGTATTATCAACTTAACCTTCCTCTGTTTTTTCCTAATCTACAATCAATCAAAATTTCCCCCCTATTTTGCAGTTGTGCCAGAAATGCAGAGACGAATGAGGAGGTGGCGATTAAGAAGATCGGAAATGCTTTCGACAATAGCGTTGACGCCAAGAGAACCCTCTGTGAGATCAAGCTTCTCCGCCATATGGATCACGAAAACGTAATCTGATTAATTCCATTTGTCCCCCAGCCTCGAGAAGAATGCCGAAAAGGTCGTTCCTGCCCCAGACCATAATCTCGAAACTGCCTTTCGCCGCATCCCAAATCGGCGAGCGGAAGCAGATCTTCCACACAGCCGACAACTCGACGATGGAGGGCATGATCGTGAACTCGCTAACCGAGCTTGACCGCGCTCTGAGCCCCGGTGAGACGAAGCGGTGCGTGGGGTCGGCGGAGGACATGATTGACTTCCCCACGGCGGTCATGGGTCGGAGCGTGGAATTGGCAGCAAACTAAAAATTATTTTATTTTTAATTTTTTATATTATTTTTTTAAATTGCCACGTCATCAAACTAACGGTCAAAGGCTTTAATTGACTGCCACGTAGGATGATTTTAACAGAATTGGACGGCCGGTGGCTACGGTGAAACGATGCGTAAAGTTAGTGGCGAATAAGAAAGGAAAGTAATTCGAGTGGCAAACGTAAAATATTTGTATAATTTGAGTGACCAAATGTGTAATTCAACCCTAGGAATGCTTATACAATAACAAAAACATTTTCCTTTATCCTAATTCCGAAGTATAATGCTAAGTGGACGATGAATTTAATTGAGATCTCATTTCTAAGTGAATGATATGTAATTTATTAATAATTTACTTACTATTAATGGGCCTGAATTAAATGTACAAAGAACTTTCTTTTGTCATCTCAAAACTCGACCAAAAGGTTAAATTGCAAGTTTGGTCACTGAAAGTGCTAAAATATTCACGTTTGGTCACTGAAAGAATTTTATTCCATCTCTGGTCACTGAAAGTGCTTAACGATTCACGATTGGTCACTCTCTGTTAGTCTCCGTCAGCCTCCTTAACGGAGTCCGTTATTTGCTGACGTGGCTAACAGTGTGGCCGAGTCAGCGTGATTTAACCCGAAAAAAAAGGAACCCGACCCGCCACATCACTATTACCCACCATGTCAGATCCCCCAACCAAACCCGTGAACCCAACCCATGAAGCGGTTAGACCTAAGATTAAACCACGTAAAATTAAAAAAAAAAATTAAAAATGGGTTTAACAACTGAAAGAAGAAAAAGAGTGGCCATTCGTTTCAACCCATCTCCTTCCTCCCCGAACCCTTCCTATTCCCTTGTCTGCAAATATCTTCTAATATCAAGGAGCGGCGATGGAGCTAGCCACTCCACCCCACTGATTTCCTCCACCCCACCTCGACGACATCACCTCTCCTTTTCTTCTTCATCGCTTTTAATCTTCTGCCTCTGTTTCATTCTACTTAAAATCCTAATCCACCACAACTCTGTTCTCTTCGGTGATTTGTGCCCGACGGAGACCCAGATCCAGCCGAAGCTTCTCTTTTTATCAGTTTGATTGTAAAGGTGAGTTTGTGGTGTTTTATTTAGGGTTCGACATCGCATGCAAAGGCTGGAAAAAAGACAATAGAAGGGACAGAGAAAAGGGACGATTTGGGAGTTGCCTTTGGGGGGTTTTCTACCTTGCTTTTATACTAAACAAAGGCGATGTTGTTTTTCCAGGTCAGGTCGCTTTACACCAAAGAAGCATGGTGGGACATGTGCGAGGACCAAATGAATCCCAAGCGAAATACGGTGAGTTGCTGTCCTTTTCGATTCTGTCCTTTTCGTAGCTGGTCTTTTTCGAGTAGTAAATGACTAAATGTTAGCTTCTTGTGGAGATGATCAAAACCAACAACATTGGTTGTCTTTTTTGAATAGAAAATGCTTGGGTCTTGTGGGATGACCAAAGCAGCATAACTGTTGTCCTTTTTTGAATAAAAAATGTTTGGTTGTGTTGGGATCGACCAAAACAATAACATTGTTGCTCTTTGACCCTTTCGTTGACCATGCCTGCTCTTTTCCTTTTGAACTAACAGTAGCATTGTTTTGGATGACAGGTGCTGGCAAACGTGAATATTTTAGCACTTTCAGTAGCATTGTTTTGGATGACCAGGGATAGAATAAAATTCTTTCAGTGACCAAAATTTAGCTAACATTTGTAATGAGAAGATGTCGAAGTTGTTTCCCAAATGTTACATGCATGACACTTGTGATTCCGTTTCTTTCCAAGTGAAAGGAATACAAGTAGGTATTTTCACTAAAAAAGGAGATGGAGGAGTTTTTCCTTCATGTCGAGACATCTTCATAAGTGATGTACAACTAACTGTATGTAGCCTTGTGACCCCATCCATCTGTGTTATGTGAGAGAGATCGATACAAAATTGAATGCAAAACCAAAACCTCTTCTCCTGGGTTTGGGTTTGGGTTCTGGACACACTCCTGGCCCTGGTCCTGGTCCTGGTCCTGGTCTACCCACTTCACTTCATCTATCCATTGCTGTCAAGTTGTTATTATTATTATTATTATTCCCATTTCTGGGCTGACATACACTTCACATTTCTGAATATTCGCCTAATTTACTCCAATACGTATTCACAAGTGGAACCCTGCAGTTTGTCTGTCCATGGATTGTAAATTTGTAATACTTGTTTGTCAAGGTGATGAAGTCGGTATGATTTCATCACGAGTTTTTAATATGGTATCTTTGTCATGCTTTGAGTTGTTTGTTCTGCTTAATTTGTTTTTTATATAATTTTATAATTTGTTCTGCTCAATTTATTGTTGCTCAATTTACTTTTTTGGTTGATTATTGACCCCAAGGTTCAGACCTAAGATGTAGTGGATGTTTCCATCCTCACATTACCATTAGGTCAACCCCTTAGGATTGTTGGTTTTTTTTCCAACTATACACGTCATTTTCACAGCGAAGCTGCCTTTTTGCCCAACATATAGAAATTTTCATAATGCTCTCAACTCTCGCAGAGAAAAAAAAGTTCGAAATGATCTCGACTCTCGCCCCATTCTGATGGCATCGGCCGAGCACCTCGGCACTCTAGTGGGGAACAGACCGCCAGACCCACCGGACTCAACACTAGATTCTTCTCCGATTCAACAGAGCAAGAAGCAGAAACCCCTCAATGATGAAGGCTTATGCGGTCAAGGACATATGATTTCAGACGAACCGCCCCAAAATCGAAACCCTGCGATTGAGGATAAGAATGGCGGTTTCCCAAAAGCCACAAAGCTCTCTTACGGAGACTCTGTTTCCGGCGGACGATGACCCGTATTGCCTGACGATCAGGGTGCGCAAGGCAACTGATAATAGAATAAGAGATCGATGGGGCAAGACACTGATATGTAAGATTCTAGGTAAACACTTCCCCTTCACAATACTGGAAAAGAAGATCCAACATTTGTGGGCTAACACAAGTTCGGTTGGCGTGGCGGATTTTGGCAATGGTTTCTTCACAGTCCGTTTCATTACCCAACAAGATTATGACAGAGCTCTGTTCAGCGGCCCTTGTCTTCTTGGTGACCACTACATCCTGACAACAGAATGGAGGCTGGATTTTGACCCGGACTACGATGTCATCGATCACGCCAAAGTCTGGGTTAGATTGCCAAGATTACCAATGGGTTATTTTGACTCGAAAATCTTGAACGACATTGGAAATCGGATCGGCAAAGTGGTCAAGATAGAATAAAACACACTTCACTGCACCAGAAGGAACTACGCTCGTCTATGCGTGGAGATTGATCTGAATAAAAAACTGGTCCCAAAATACAGATGGAAGAGACGAGTCCGGCGTATTGAATATGAGGGTTTACACCTTGTGTGCTTCACATGCGGTTTCTATGGCCATAACCAGGATTCATGTGCCAGAGCAAACGAGAATGGGAAAACGCCGGAGAACTTCTGTTCACAGACAAACCCAATGTTTAATACCCAAGGTCAGCCGGTAATTAGACCAGAAGTGGTGGAGGATTTCGGGCCATGGATGCTAGCAACAAGGAACCGTCGTTATAAGCAACAACAGAAGTCCAATGAGCCCACCAAGGAAGACGTTCCCTTGACGGCGATGACGACCACTTCGGCGATACCTCAACTGTCGGTGGGCTCGCGATTCGCGGCGCTGGAAACAGAAGCAGCGGATATTACGGGAGAAACTTCTGAAAAGGAAAGCGACATCATTGGAGATCCGATTGACCAAAAAGGAAAGAAAAGACGGGGGTGAGTAACGGCTCTGGTAAGAGCACATCGGCGAAAAGAAAAACTGAAAAGGAAAAGAAATCTTCGAGGCTGGATAAAGAAGGAAAGACAAAGGAGAGACAAGAGCCGAAAAAGATGACTCTGCCCAAAAGTACTGACAAAGAAAATAGACAGAAGAGTCAACATATTAACAAGTCTCAAGCCCAGCCTAGCAACGGGCCCAACAAGCTCGGACGTAGTTCGATCTTACCATCCCAGGCCCAATCCGCCATACACCATCCACAATCCCTTCCCAATACTCTCTCCACCGCCCAGCCCAGTTTGGAGAATAGAAAGGACGGAAAAAGCAATTCAGTTCAACCAAACAGGGAGTCTGCAATTGTTTCGGTCAAGAAGGGGCCTGACCTGTTGCAATCGATGGTCATCAAGAACAATTCCAGCCCTTCCGATGATTCAACCCAGATTTCGGCCAAGCGAACGGTGGAGCAGCAGAAAGCAGACAAGAACGAGGCCACCCGGATGGGTATGGAGAAAGAAAATGGCCAGATGGAGATCGACAAAGCCCAGTAAGGGCTGGTTGTTGTCGTTGTTCCTCTATTGGGAAAGTTTCTCTACCCTCTCCTTATTTCTTGTTTTCCTATGTTTAAAGTCTTTAGTTGGAACTGTCGTGGTGCAAAACACCATAATTTTCTATCCACGTTTAAGGATTATATGTTTACTCATCATCGGAACCTTGTTTTCATTGTCGAACCTCGTAATAGTGGCAATGATGCAGAAGAGGTCATCCAAAAGATGGGGTTTGATCGTATGAGATTGTTGAAGCAATTGGGTTTTCGGGGGGGGGGGGGGGGTATTTGGGTGCTTTGGAACTCCGTGGAGTTTGATATCACAGTTTTGGACATTAATCCCCAAGTTCTTCATTTTCATGTCACATGTACTAATTGCCCCTCAGTGACGATGACAGCAGTTTATGGGAAGCCGAATGATTATGATCGACGACCGCTCTGGGATCTTCTCCGGCATC